CTTGATGCTTCCTTTATGTTTCACCTCAAACCTCAGGCCCCCGGGGGTGACTTCTCTGACTTCATCTTACCCTTTGAGCACTCTGAACTTTGCTTCTCAGCCCTTCTCAGAGTCAGGGACTCATACTGCGAGTAGGAGCATAAAACTGTTTCACTACAATGTCTTCGCCCACTGAAAGTAAGTCCCATGAGGTTAAACTGGTCTTCTCATCACTTATTCTGCACATATAGGCGCTCAGAATATTTTTTAAAATAATATTAAGGTTTTATGATCATAGCCTATTTACAGACTTTCAAAAGTTAAAATAGCCACAGAAAATCAGTGGTAGCTCTTACTGGCCTTCTAGGTTTAACTCAACTTCTTACAAGGAGCATCATATAAAAGATTTTTCTGGAAGTTTCAAACAAAGAGTCCCATGAACTGTTCTCAGCTGCAATTAAATATGTTCTAGTTTTCTTTTTCCTTTTTTTCATAATTCCAAAGATAATAAAGTTAAGGAGGGTCACTTTAGTTACAAGAAACCTCCTTCCAATAGTAAACAGACATCACTGGGGTCAGAGACCAGAGACTCAATGACAGATTGAAGCTCTCAAGAAAAGATCTTAATGTGGAATGAAGAATGCTATTACCCCGAGAATCATCTAAATACATACAGTTTCACGGATAATGGATTTGCTAAGCATGCTTGGAACATTCTCCATCTTAAACAGCTATGAATAATTAGGGTATTCATAAATTACTATACTATAATAGAATGAGCAGTCAAACTTAATTCATTAACCCTTTCAAAACTCTGATCCCAGGAAAACTGAAAGAATATATTCGTAAGAGTAAATCAAAAAAACTCCATAAGGTTCCTTCCTAAACAAAATACCACTGACTGTCTCTTTCTTGTGACAATTTAGTTTGATGAGGACAAGATACTATGAAAAATAAATGAACAAACAAATATGATTGTATCATGTCATTGGAAAAATCTTTTTTCCTTCTGATGTCTTCTACCTACTCCACCCAGCTCATCCTTGACTTTCTCAAGACAGGCTTTCTGGATTTACCCAGGTTGCCCTCTCTGGTTTCAAATAATAGGAAGCAAGATATATCAATAGATAGATGGATAGATGATAGATAGATAGATAGATAGATAGATAGATAGATTTTTTTCCCCAGTGTTGGGTATATTTAAAAGAATACATATGATGACTTTATTTTGGCCTTGGCCTTTAATAATGAAATGCTTAGTATGCACTCTAACACATTAGAAAACAGAGACAAACCAGACATAAACAAGGCAATGAACAAAGCACATGTACAGACATGGATGGTGGAGTACTTTTTCAACATGCACTGCCAAAGAAATAAAAAGCTATCTTTGTCTTTATAACTCAACTGGGTTGGGGAGGGGGGACAATCAGTAGTCACACTGAGATTGCCAGAAACCTAAGGCTATAGGAGACCATTCTTCATTGTGTACAAGATTGATTTCTAAATGCAAGAAGGTCTAAGTCAGTGGAACTAGATTTGATGGCCTGGGGTAGGAGTGGGGGAGGCCGGGGAGAATGACTGGTCAAACCTAAGGGAGTTTTAGACCAGGTCAGAAGAGACACCAGGGCTGGACCCTACACACCTGGCTACAGAAAAATAGCATTGCCAGGAGGATCAGGGAGGTAAGTATAAAACACTCAGAGATGGAGGGTCTTGATTGCCAAGTGTTTAAATGAGCTCTAATGAGCAACTGCACACCAGCCCAGGGAGTTATGGAAATTGCTGTCAAGGAAATCGACAGTGGAATCAATAAAAGATCCTTGATTTTGTCTCTCATTACTTTTTGACTCAGGGAAAAAAAAAAAGCTTTAGAAATAACCACTGACTTTGGACCACACTGAACAACAACAAGAAACAAACAAACAAAAAAGTAGGGTTGTTTCCAGCATCTGTGCAGTACAGATTGCAGCCTGGGGAAATGGGATGTGGTCTAATAAAACAAATATTTACCAGTAAATTATTTGTGCTCGTTTTCAAGGGCAATTACATATTTTATGCATGCTTTCAAGGGATTCAGATTATCCTCCTTTGATACATAATGGTGACAAACTGTATCTAAAGATTTACCCAGGGGTTTTCTAAACTAAAAAAAATGTCAAGCAAACAGCTGTTTTAAAGAAATAGCTCGTCCTGGAGAGGCTGCATGGCACCTTGGGACTGAGCCCTTTAAGAGCCTTCAGAACAATAAGCCATGATGGTCTAATGCAAACCAGAAATTCACCAGCACAGCTTTCTGATTTACACACACTCCAGTCCCAGCTGGGAAGCTAGCATTTCAAAAGCCAGGGTAGATAGTTCCAAGTGGAAAAGACTTAGCCCTGAATAGCAAAAGTGGAGTTGGGGGAAGACAGTAAATGACATTGCAAAGACAATTAAAGGAATAGACAAGACAGTGTGGAAAAAAATAATATTTAAGTTTCCCTCGCCCAGACATGAAAATCAGATCTTTTTCTCATTAAATTTTGGATTAAAAAGATGAGTAATCAACAAAGCACAGTAAGACCTACAATTTGAATTTTGTTCTCTAGGGTTCACTCCTAATGAAGTTGAAATATCTGAGAAGAAAATTCCAAAGAATCACAGACGTAGATTGCTTGCTTTTTCAAAAAAAAAGAAAGACTAATTGAATTTTCCATAAAGATGGTTGACACCACCTCAATCATTAATATGTTGGTAATAATTATAGTTTAGGGACTTTGGGTGTGTTTCCATGCAGAACATTTGCATATTCACTTACAATGGTTAACAGCAATGTTCACCACACAGAAGGTGCATGTTCTCTTCACGGTTCAGACTCCCAGGCACCTATAAGATACTATGACCATCTTCATCTCACAAAATGAGACATCAAAGCAACTTTGTCAAGGAACCATTCAATGGGACAGAGATGAGGTTTGAACCAAGTCTAGTTCTATCCATAATTACTGCATTAGATGCCTTTGAAAGGGTGTTTCAAAATAGTTTCTACATAATGCTAGTTCACAAGAAGAGATTACCTATATCAACTGGCAAGAAGAACATCAAAAAGTACCTGACTAGTTGTGCACTATGAATTCAATGTGGCTATTCTAAAGAGTTGAAATAAACAGGAATGTCAAGCACTTCTCAGTATGACCAATTATTAAATTGTCCATCGTCTGAATGATCATTGTCCACATACCGCAAAAGTTTATTTTTAAATTGTCTGATGATACTTTAGGGTTGGCCTCATGAAGACCAAACAGGAAATGGGAGCACAGCTTAGTCACAGCAATGATTGACTTATCTTCTCTCCAACTTTACCCTCTTCTCCTCCAAAGTCCTTGGTTCAATCAAAGATGTTTTAACAGAAGGTAAACCCCATGACCCCACCTTTTTTTTTAGTGACTCAATGTCAAAAGCTCAGAAGAACAATTAGATACTTATTAGTTAGAATCCTGTTTATTATTTCTTTCATCAATTATTTTAACAAACTCTATATTTTAAATACACTAGCATGCATTAATTCTACTTGTTAGGAGGTTCCTAAATTCAGGTAACATCTTCAAATATCCAGTCATAATTTTGAGTTACTAATTTTTCCCAAACTGACAAATTCTTTCACAACAAAACAATAAAATGTGCTGAAGCGAAAATATCTGAGTTTAGTAAAACTCTCCTTCTGCTTTTAAAAATTAGTTTCTGCATCAATGCAAAATGAAAATCTATGAATAATAAACATTTTAAAAGGAGAGGGGATTTATGTTGACTTGAATGTAACAGTTACTATCCCAGGACTCTTATAGATAAACACTCTATTTTCTACAAAAACTTCATCCTGTCAAAGAGAATCAGGCTTAGGGTGGGAGGAAAAATTGTTCTTTAGCAAAAAATACTCTTATTCTTCTCCACATAGGGAAAGCAGCCCATTTCTATGTTAAGAACTCAGTGAAAATGCAGATGAGCGCAAAGTCTGTCAGTCTATCAAAATACCAAAACCCATCATTTTAGACATACAAACCTGCACACATTGCTTTGAGATTCTTGACTTTATATTGCCCGACAGCATCTGATTGAACAGCATCCAATTCACACAGATGCAAATCTAGATTATACAATAAATGAGCAGCAAATGGAATTATATCATCTCCCTGAAGCCAGGACCTACTCTTTTCTTCCAAGGCTCTAGGACAACCTTAGAATAGAACTGCAATTCGTACTTAGATTTTTCCCTCTTTAAGTGAATTTTATTTAAAACAATGTTTAGCATGTTATTAAGAAAACTTAATGTTTAAAAATAAGAATATGCACAAGAATAACTCACTTGAGGAGTAATAGTTTGCAGTACAAGCTATTACTCCTCAAGTTAGAAATAACTTGAACAAGTTAAGAAATAATTTGAACTTAAAAATTTTTACATAGGTTACAGCAAATTTGCCTGATCTGACAATACAACCCCTACTACTTTTAGAAAATTAGACGTTCTAAAATATAAGCAAAACTGTTAGAAGATCACTGGTCTCCAAAGGGAATTACAAAAATGAATGGCTACTCAAAGCTAGATTGGTAAGCATGCAAACTGAGGCTCAGCAACCCAGGGGGTATCCTGGCCAGAGCTGGATATCCACCCAGAAACATAAGACATGTTTTTGATCCCATGAGAGGGTAGAAGCTAGAACTAAGTCTCCTACAAAACAAGAACTTCAGAAGGGCAGCTTCTCAACAGCCCAGGGCAGCAGTAAAACAGCTTGTTTTCTACAGAGGTTCTGGGAAGGGGAGCCAGCTCATGAAAAAATAAAGAAAAAATCCCAAACCTGTGACATATGTAGAGGTGGGGAAGTCAAACTTACACCACCTGTGATAGAGAAATGGCAAGCCGAGAACTTAACATAAACAGATGCTAGGCTGGAGACTCTGCTGCTGAGTGCAGATTCCATTGCTGTGTGCCTGTGATGCCTTCTCAACGTGCATTCCCGATTCCTTTTGGTTCCAAGTTCAAAATGGCAAGTCTCAAGGATCAGCTGATTGTGAATCTTCTCAAGGAAGAGCAGGTCCCCCAGAATAAGATTACAGTTGTTGGGGTTGGTGCTGTTAGTATAGCCTGTGCCATCAGTATCTTTTTTTTTTTTAAGAGAGAGAGAGAATTTTTTAATATTTATTTTTCAGTTTTCGGTGGACACAACATCTTTATTTTATTTTTATGTGGTGCTGAGGATCGGACCCAGCACCCCGAGCATGCCAGGTGAGCATGTTACCGCTTGAGCCACATCCCCAGCCCCATCAGTATCTTAATGAAGGACTTGACAGATGCACTTGCTCTTGTTGACGTCATGGAGGATAAACTGAAGGGAGAGATAATGGATCTCCAGCATGGCAGCCTTTTCCTTAGAACACCAAAAGTTGTCTCTGGCAAGGACTATACTGTGACTTCAAACTCCAAGTTCGTTATTATCACAGCTAGGGCACGACAGGAAAAGGGAGAAAGTGGTCTTACTTTGGTCCAGTGTAATGTGAACATCTTAAAGGTCATCATTGCCAATGTTGTAAAATACAGCCCACACTGCAAGTTTGTTGTTTCCAATCCAGTAGATATCTTGACCTATGTGGCTTGGAAGATAAGTGTTTTTTCCAAAAACCGTGTTTTTAGAAGTGGTAGCAGTCTGGATTCGGCCCAGTTCCATTACCTGGTGGAGGAAAGGCTGGGAGTTCAAACATTAAACTGTCATGGGTGGGTCCTCAGGGAGCATGGAGACTCTAGTGTACCTGTACAGTTTAGTGAGTGTTGCTGGTGTCTTCTTGAAGAATATGCACCCAGATTTAGGCACTGATGCAGATAAAGAACCTTGGAAAGAGGTTCACAAGCAGGTGGTTGACACTGCTTATGAGGTGATCAGACTAAAAGGCTATACATCCTGGGTCATTGGACTGTCTGTGGCAGATTTTGCAAAAAGTATAATGAAGAATCTTAGGCAGGTGCACCCAATTTTCACCAGGATTAAGGGTCTCTATGGAACAAAGTATGGTGTTTTTCTAAGTGTGCCTTGTGTCTTGGGACAAAATGGAATCTCAGATGTTGTGAAAGTGAATCTGAGGAAGAGGCAGGTTTGAAGAATCATGCAGATACACTTTGGAGCTGAAAATTTAAAGATTTCTAATGTCATATCACTTTACTTTCCAAGATACAACAGGATTTTAGTTAGAGGTTGTGCATATGTCCTTTTTATCTGATCTGTGATTAAAGCAGATGGCCTGGGGAAAACATCAATTTCCTAAAATTAGAAATAGGAATGGCTTATAAAACCCTATTGATATCCTGATGCTGGATGGTACTTAACTTATGTAGTCCTAAAATTGTTAGTGTAAAATGGTTCTACCATCTCTGGGATACCATTCCCAATATTGCACAGCTCCAGTTGCCCTTCAAACCAGATGTGTGATATATAACCTCATCAAACATGCCCTAGTCCAACTGTTTTGTTGTTTTTGTTTTGCTTTTTTCATTCAGTCACATCCTGGGAACCAATGTTAAATCCAATATTGCATGTCTTATGTAAACTATTCTAAAGGATTTTATTCTGTGTATTATATGTATCCGTAGTGCCCGTTTCTATATTATGTAAAAAGAAAGATCTACAAATGAACAATGCAACCAGCTATGCAAGTGTCATACCAACTGAAATATCAAATAAACCTTGAACAGTTAAAAAAAAAAAGTCATAGACTATGAAAACCTGGGACTCCCAATAGAAACAAAATATGAAATATTCTGTATGGAAATATCCACAACTAAGGGTCAGGAAGCTCATGCAAAAATGCTCACAATGTAAAAAAAAGAAGAAGAAGAAAAAGAAAAGAAAAGAAGAAAGAAAGAAATCTTTGGGAATCTCTTGCAATGAGGAAAAACCAAGGTCACAAACAGGGTCAGTTAGGAACTAGAGCCAGACAATAGAAGAAAGAACAATTAACTGCACTAGAATGATTGTAATATTAGAAACTGACAGCTAAAATACAGGTCAAAACATGCAGTTGGAAACAGACAAATGGTCATTGTCAATGAAGAAATCAAAATGGAAATGTTTAATACTTGGACCTGACTAACAACCAGAGCTAAGAACTGTAAGGCAAGTAACATATATATGTATATGTATATTAGGCACTGATGCAGATATTTTAGGAGGAAATCCACATACCTTCAAATGCATATGTTAGGAAAGGAAAAACAAAAAGTAAGGAGCCCAGCAACTCAAGAAGTTAAAAGAACAGAACAAACCTAAAGGAAATATTAGATACAAAAGCAGATCAAATAGAAGAGAAAATAAAGAAATACTAGAATTGATTAGGAAAACAAAAAATGATTCTTTGGTGGGAAAAACACAAAGAAATTACAAATCTCTGGAAGATCAATTAAGGAGAAAAGAAGGAAACAAATAATATCAAGAAAAGAGAATGGATATAATTGTAAACGGGATGGAATTTTGTACAAGAGAATATTATGTAAAACTTTATGTCAGTCTATTCAAATGAAAATTATAGAAAAATATAAATTGCCAACATTGACTAATAAAAAGTTAGAAAATATGTATAACCCCACATAAAGCTAAAAACTGGACAATAAAGATCTAGCCACAAATTTTAAAACAATTTTTGCCAAATCTTGAAATAGCAGAAAATCTGAATCTTATAAATCTAGTTCAGAGTTTTTTTAAAAAAAAATAAAGAGGCCCATTACTAATTTAAAAGGTTAGTATAAACTTTATATTAAAACTAGGTAAATACTATATGGAAAAACAAATCACTAACTGTTATCACTAATGATGTATATAAAAATTCTACATAAAATGTGAATAAATTTTATATCAAAGATTTCCTGAAATTTAACAGAAAAATAGAAAACTTCTGAAGAACCAGGTAGAGTTTTGGTGGAAAAGACTACAGTTTTAATCTCAGACCCTGGGAGGTGTCATCTATCTGTAATAGATGAGTTGTGTATGTGTGTTGACGCTATGAACAAATAGTGTTTAACCCAAATATGCAAGATTAATTCAGTTATTTGTAGTCTATTAATGTAATTCATCCATGTTAATAGATTAAGGAAAAAAATCACAAAATCATCTCAATACAGGCTCCCAAAAGTCATCCATTAAATTTTGACATTAGTTCGTGATTTAAAAAAACATACTCTTAGCAAACTAGAAATAGAAGAAAATACCTTAATCTAACTAATAGTGATAAGTCATAATAAACATAATACTTAATAGTGAAATATGACAAGCAATTTATTTAAGGTTGAAGACAAATATGACTGTTATTACCCATTTTCTCCACTAGAGTATTGACAAGTGTATTTGTACCGGCCATATAGGAGAAATCCAGTTTCTCCATATCCTAATCAACAGTATTTAGATATCTTTTTTCTGAAGTAGTATCTCACATTAATCAGCATTTCCTTAAAGTTAGTGACTGAGAAGTTTTAGGTGTTTCAGTTTTCTCTTGTATGAATTGCCTTCCATAACTTTTGCACATTTTACTATTACAGTCCTGTGTATTTTTCTTACTGATTTTATGAAGTTACAGATGAAAAAATATATTCCTCATAGTCAACTCTTTTGTAACCACCACAAAGCCAGTAAAGGGTGAAACTGGGATTCCATCCTAACACACTTGAATCAAGATGCATCTCAAAAAAAAAAAAAACACAATAATAATCCTTACTTTGCAAAATGATTATCCACAGAATCCTACAAGAATTAATTCCACTATTACATTGAATATTTATTTTGATTTATCTTAATTTGACTGCCAATATACTTTTTAGGATAACATTTTTTTTCCATAAACCAGTGTCCACCTGCTGATCAGCTGAAAAAAAAATGTATCTATAATAACGTCACTGTCTAACTCCAGTTGGCACTCACATTGGAAGATCTGAACCCCAAGCAACTACTATGACTCTAAAAGCATCCTTCAATATTCTTCTAGAGTCAAAGGCTCAGAGGGAGAAGAAAGCCACCAACAAACTCAAATCTATATGGCGTTAAGCCATCTTGAGATTGTTGAAGAAAATCTGTGACTTGGCAGCCATACTGACTGACAAGCTCAGTTTAAAAATATATGTTACAACAGTTAAGCAGCTGTTATTTCTCCTTCCTTTGCCAACTGATTATGTACAGCAAGTTTGTCATTTTTCCATTATTCACGACTCTTGGGTTATCGGTCTTCTGAAGAAATGATAACATGCTTTATTGGAAGACAAACTGTTTGAAGATGGAGTTGGAAAATAAGTTATTTAGGGCAACTGAGAAGGGATTTTGTGCATCAGATGGTTTTAATTAAAGGAATGATATCAAATCTGCTTCTACTTACAGAGACGAGACACCTCCCAGGGTCTGAGATTAAAACTGTAGTTTTCCACCAAAACTCTACCTGGTTCTTCAGAAGTTTTCTATTTTTCTGTTAAATGTCAGGAAATCTTTGATATAAAATACAGAAAAACGGAGGGAAAAGGCTAAGTAATGGCTTTCCCAGGGAAGAGAAAGCTTAATCTTTTTGTTTCTGATTTGTTATATTTATGCAAAAATATTAGTATCTGGAATTACCTTAGCATAGGTGTACAAAACTCCAATTTCTCCTACTGCTTCTCCAGAAACAGAGTGCATGTCTCCATTTGTACCCCTTCTACTTGGCAATATATACAGAACTCTGCAATTATGGCCAAGAAGGGCATTCAGGACCCTGTGCCATTTTTAATAGACATTATGACCTTTTATGTTCACAATTTTTGTCTGCCTGAAAAACTGTCTACCTTATAGAGTCCCATGTGAATACTGGACACGTGTTCTATTGCTCCTGCCAAGTTGTAGGCTTTTCTTAGTTTTCTTTAAGATATCATTGAAAAAAAAAACATATTTAGATCTCTCATCAAACTCTGCCACTCAACACAGCACTGGACTCATAGCTGCCAGGGTCAGTAAGAGCTTCCTTTTAAAATTCAAATTCAAATACACACTGGCCTGCCCCTTTCAAAAAAAAATAGCATTCAGCCCTGTAATAGCATTCATCTCTGTAATCCTAAAGGCAGAGAAATTAGGTCATAAAGACTCATGTAAATTAAAAGGTAATCCTAAGGTCTGGGGTTGTGGCTCAGTGGTAGAACACTCAGCTCGCATGTGCAAGACACTGGGTTCGATCCTCATCAACACATAAAAATAAATAAGTGAAATAAAGGTATTGTATCCAACTACAATTAAAAATAAATAAATATTTTTTTTTAAAAAAAGGTAATCCTAAAACTATATTTTCTTAAATCTAGTCACCAATATTAAATGATATTCTAAAGTAAAACTGGATTAATTAACGTTTATCTCTTTCCTATTTCTGATCCCCTCTGGCTCCATTAGTTATGTAGAAAATTTTAATGAGACTTGCTTTCTACAAAGAGTTTCCAGAAGCACCCAGCATAATTCCTTAGATTGTCAAAGGGAAAAACAAAAAGGCCCAGAGTCCCCTCAGTAGTGCTGCCTGGGTAAACCAGACTGACCTCCAGGGCAGGTTCTGAGTAAGCAGGGTGGTGTCACCACGAGAACCTGAAATGCATAAGAGAGTGTCTTATTTTTTCTTGTTTGCTCAGTCATGACCACACTGCTCAACACATAAAAAGTTCTCAATAAACAAGTATGAAATAGACAAATCTCCCCCATGTAATCCACCAATCAATTCAGATGGACTGTCTTCTGAGACTCATCCATTTATTTATCCATTCAACATATATTTATTCAGCAACAACATGGGCACTGGGAATTGCTATGGTTTGAATGTGTTCTCTAAAACTCCTGGGGAAATTTAATTTCCATTGTATCAATACTAAGTGGGCCATTGAAGAAGGGATTAGGTCATAGGGCATCACCCTCATGAATGGATTAAGCCATCATCTTGGGAGCAAGTTAGTTATCCTAGGAGTGGTTTAGTCATGGGGGCGGCAGTTCAGTCCCCTTCCTTCTATCTCAAGTGTGTGCTCTCTCGCCATATGATGCTTTCCACCATATCATAACACAGTGAGCAGGTTCTCACCAGATACATCCCCTTGATCTTGGACTTCCCACCTCCAGAACTGTACGTCAACTAAACTTCAATTGTTTATAATTTACCCCATCTGTGACATTCGGTTAAAGCAGGAAAAAAAAAAAAAAACTAAGACAGGGATGCAGCAGTAACAACAATCCTTCCCTTGGGAAGCTTACAT